GACATTTTAGATATGGTAGCTTCAGGTGTTTGGTTGGTTAGCATGGTGGGAAAGTAGTGGAAGGAATGAATGAAGGTTGCATCAGATTTGGGGAAAGGATGAGGTTTAAGACAGTGGAAAGAGCATAAGAAGGGCCACGATGAGAACCAAAGAAGGAAAAGGAGATCAATTGCAGAAGATAAGCGAAGGAGAAGATAAGAAAAGGTGGGCAGAAGCTAGGGATTCAAGGAGGTTGGGGACGAAGATCTCTCATCTCTATTTCTCTAGATTCCCCCATGTTATAGTTGTAGAACTTACAAGAAGACTAACCTAGGAGAGAGAGAGAGAGAGAGAGCACTCGGATAATTAAGTTGGTAAAACGTTGGTTAGAATAGCATTATTGATAGTTGTATACTTGAAAGCTAAAAAGGAAACCAAAACATTATCATTCATGTGTACGTTACATACACAATAGCTATATAAAAGGCTTTTGAGATAGCTTTTGGTTGACAACAAAAAAAAATTCACTCCATAGTCTTCCAATAGCTTATCCCTTTATACTTGGCATACTTTTTTAATTATAATATATTATTTTATTTTGGACAAATCGATTTGAGTCAAGTTTATTTCTACCTTTCAGTAGATGTGACCATTGAGAAGGTGCTACTGCGAGCGTCTGAGTTGGATCTTGGAGTCACTGGTGTCTGTCAGTATCCTCACGTGGCGAGGCTCAGCTACTTTAAGACAGTAATCACACACGACTCTCGGACTCGCAGGCCAGCTCATTCAAAATCTATTTATTTGGTTATATAGATTGCATGTTTATATATTTTCTGTATTTATTTAATTGCATTCTTTTTTATGATCTAAATACTGTTTGCATGTTTTATATCTAATTTTAGATTACAACACTCATATTTATTTTGCTCATATCATAATTCTAATATTTGGTGGTCTGGACAATCATCGGTCACTCCTGACAACTGGTGGCTTACGTTTTCCCCAGTGAAGGATGAATGATGAATGATGGTGCTGTGGTACAGGTAGCCCGGATGTTGCAGATGATATTTAACTTCCTTTCGGATGATGGTGTGTTTCGAAGGTGCATGCTTAATAATATGGAAGGAACCCATGGTACTCCTTCTTCTTCTTCTTCAATTATTTCTTCGGTGAAGTAATCATTTGTGTGTATAAATTCAGTTTCCACTTTTTGCCTTACTTTTTTTTGTAGGTTCTTGCATTATTGAAAATCTTCGATGTCAGTCATTTCCATAGTTTTGTCAAAACTCCAAAATTCTTGAAACTCTCTAATGAGAGACTGATCCTTGAAGATTGTAAGAATTTATTGGAAGTTCATGAATCCATTGGAAATGCAAAGGGGCTTGTATTATTGAATCTAAAAGATTGCGAAAATCTACAGAGACTTCCAATAAATATTACTGAGCTAAAATTTCTTGAAACACTCACTTCTGGTTGTTCAAATCTTAATAAGTTGTCAGCAGAATTCAAGGAGATGGACTGGTTGAAAGTGTTTCACGCTGATGGGATGGCTTTGAACAGATTACTCCCTGTCACTGGGGAGGTTGAATCACAACATGCATTTGCCTGTTCTGAAATTTCAAAGCCGAAAACAAATCCAGAAGTTTCGTGGGCATCTTTACCAAGCTCTTTGGTAAGCTTGAGTCTTGCAAATTGCAGTCTTTCTGATGAAGTTTTTCCAGAGAGTTTAGTTACCTATCCTCATTGGAGCACTTAAATCTATGCGGAAATCCAATTGTTAGCCAAATTGCATCAGAGTTCTTAGCAGGCTCAAGGACCTTGGCTTTTCACGGTGTGAAGGACTCCAATTTCTTGAACGGCTACCAAGTGTGAAAATATTGTTTGTATCGTGGTGCACATCATTGGAGAAAATAACATTCCTGGAACAGGGTGGGCTATACAAGATGGCAGTTAGCAAACTTAAAAACCTAGTTGAGTATGATAAAGTGGTTTAAATTAGAACCAATAGATAGAATTGATCGGGAATTAATCAATGTTTTGAGCTTGCACAACTTGGACACGATGACAAACCTTAAGGTGAATTTAACAATGTGACTCAGGATTCTGTCCCATCCAGGTTCTCTCTCTCTCTATCTCTTAGTGTGTGTGTGTGTGTGTGGNAACACACTCTCCACTGCATGTCTAAGTTTTCTGAACCACAAGCTTTGTTTCATTCTCTTTCTTCATGTTAGGGACAATGAAGCCACAAATGGCTTCTTCTTCTTTTTTGACACTGTATCTATGGTGTCAACACCTGGACTCCACTGAAGTGAATTCCACAGGTATGTGTTTTGGGGTTGTTGGGCGGTGTGTGTGTGTGTGGGGGGGGGGGGGGGGGTATGTGTAGCAAATTGTTAGTATTAGGGAAAATTTTATTCACACGTCTTCTAATTTACCATGTCTTCAAGAAAACCCTTTTTATTTTTTGAATCTTCACTAACATCCCTTGTTAGGTTAAAGATATTAATTAAAATACAATTTTACTTAATTGTTTATGATATATTTTAGAAAAAACTTCATCTAAACCCCCTCTAGATAGACATATCTTCAATGAGACCCATTTTTTAAAAAACTTTTTTTACACATTAAAATTCAAGACGATTAAATTCGATTCGAACTAATTAATTTTTTTTTTTTATGTATTAAAATTTTTGCCGATTAAAAATTAATTTTTTTACTTATTAAAATGTGAGCTGATTAAAATTCTACTCGAGGCTCAAATCAAATTTTAATCAACTCGCATTAAATGTTAATCGGCCTATTTTTGATATACAAAATAATAAAAATTTTAATTGACTCAAAAAATAAATTTTAATCAATTTGAATTAAATTTTAATAAATAAAAAAAATATAAATTTTAATGGATTGGAAGGGAATTTTAATCGGGGCTAATAGTTGAAGTAGAGCTCAAATTGAAACGAATTTTAATACGTAAAAAAACACTTTTAATAAGCTCAAATTTTAATACATAAAAAGATAAAATTTAATTAAATCGAATCGAATTTTAATCGACTCAAATTTTAGTATGTAAAAAAAATTAATCAACTCGAATTTTAATAAATAAAAAATAATTTTAATCGGCTCGAATTTTATGTAGAAAGATTATTTGACATTTATATAGGGGCAATTTTAATATTTGAGACAATTTATTTTTGTTATAAATAGTAGTTTAATGACAAGGGGTGTCAATAATATTTAAATATAAACTAGAAGAGGTGTCAATAATATTTTTGATAATAGAAGAGATGTTCTTAAAGATATAGTAAACTAGAAGAACTATTATTATAATCTTCCCTTACAATTATGATCTCCATGGCACATGGATTGCATTTTCCGCCGGAGAATGTGGTAATATGATTATGTATATTCGAAATAAGTAAGACAAAATATAATGATCTTCCTTGCTCATTTTTTAACATTGTAAAAGTTAGATTATTTAGAGTTGTCTAATGAGATTAGACTTAATACTTGAAACACGATAATAACTAATAAGTTTTAATGGGACAAGGACTCATTAATCACTATTTTTAAATTGACCAACTTTTCTTACATCATTTTAAATTTTTTAAAGAATAATGTTATTTTGATCTAAAAATTTGACCTAATTTGTTGACATAATGATGTAACTTTATAAGAATTATTAAATTAACACTAAGTTCTAATATTTGTTGAGGCCTACAGTTAATCCAAATATCATAGTGAATTAAGTCAAGAGATTATGTCAATAAATTAAGTTCTAATAACATTGCTCTTCTTTAAAAGACCATCTTTAAAGTTTCGACGTCTCCCAAACAAATTAGTAGACCAAGTCGTCTTATTGAGATGAGTCGTCAAAACCATCACACCTATGAAAGACATGTGGACTAATGGCACAAAGCCATGTACCCATGTTTCGTGGGGTGTAAAATTAGGTAACTTACAGTTACTTCTTGAAAACATGGATGTAACTAGAAGCTACATATGCAGAGTGCAAACAACCTAGTTAAGGTTCAGAGCTAGTTCAAGTTAGAACATGTAAAAAGAAATGAACCCCAAGTAGTCAATGTTTTGGCTTGCACAACTTGGAGACAATAACAAACCTTAAAGTCAGCTTTGAAAATGGCTTCTTAGGTGTATTTTAGATAAATATCTGTCTCATCCAGGTTATCTGTGTACACCCTAATCCTCCCCCGATCTCTATCCAAGTTACATATAATAATAATCATGATTCTTGTGACACAGGTACTTCATCAAGATGGTGTATCATGTTGGGCTTTTGTGGAGTTTAGCTTTTATGTGTGATCCGAATTATGACCCAACTTGAAATAATGTTGCGTGATTTTTTAATAAGAAATTTTTGGGCCTGTTTTGTAGCCCGATGCGTAGGGCATATAAAAAACCGCTACTTTGGTGATTAGGATTTGCTTGCGGTGTATAACTGCTCTCTGTAATCCTCTCTCCCAATAGTGAAATCCCTGAAACTTCGTGGACGTAGGCAAATTGCCGAATCACGTAAAATTTGTGTGTCTTGTTTTTATTGTTTGATATTCTTGATTTGTTTTTCGATTGTGTGTGTTTGTCTGTGGGTTTAAAACATATTAAATCCCAACATATCAAGCATATATTTTCCTGGGAGAGAGGTTCCTAGTTGATTCAACCATAAAAGTAAGGGATCCTCGATGTCTTTTACTGTGCCATCACGTCCTAAATTCAAAATTCAAGGCCTCAATGTGTACTTTGGAGAAATTTTTCTATGGGTATTACACACCACCTGGCTTTGCCCATGTGGTATGCACAGCCAATAAATGTCTTCCACATCACTATTTTGTTAGAAATTTTTTTAAAGAAGCCAACTCAGCCACCCAATTGTGTTTATGAATGGAAAGTTAACAGAGCAAACTCCAAAAAAAAAAAAAAAAGTGCTGTCCTATTTACTCTTTCAAATTTCAAAAATTCTAAAATTCAAAACCTAACTCTCCATTACTATTTCTTTCCCTCTCTCCCTATAAATCTTTCCTCACCTCCATACCCAGAATCACTCTCTCCACCACCCGGGACGCCGTCGAGTCCAAGGGCAAAACAATAATATTGCTCCCAGATGACAAAGTATTCTCTGATAAGTACCCATTTGTGATCGCCAGAGTTTCCACAAGCTCCACTGAATTATCCTTAGTCAGGACGACATCGTTTGATTTGGTCTCAATTTTCTTCCCGAAATTAGAAGATATCGACTGTTTAATATTGAAATCTCCGAATTGGGGCTTGAAATGGACGAAAAAAACTAGGGTTTTGATTTCCAATGAAATTGAACTTGGCGCTCATGGTCATGGGGCTAGAACTCGGCGGTTTGGTTATCTCACTCTCTCTCAGGTTGTGTGGGTGGAGGAACAGGTAAGCAATCCTTTTTCTCTCTCTAAAATGAGAAATCATGTAAGTGCAACTGTTGGCCATGAATAAATCAAAAAATTAAAGGTGTTTAGTATTTTTCTCTTTACAAGTTGATTCAAGAGTTCAGTATTTTTGACGAAGAATTTCAGGATTTCAGAGAAATGGAAACATAGAGAAGAACAAGATGAAGACATGTGTAATTTCTTATCTCTAACTAATTGCAAATGGTGTTAGTTGGCGATGGCAGTAGACTTTTATATATGAAATGAAGGAGAAAATTATATTTTTAATGTAATCCATATGGGATTGTACATTCGTGTTGAGCAATAGCAGTTAAACAAAAAATAAAGTATTTAGTTCATCAAAATCATTTCATTACCGATTCCCAGAAGTATAAACAAAATTTCTCATTGATTCTCACTCATTCATGCCCTTGTAAAAAATGTTGCTGGAGGAACTCTGATTCATTTGTGATATTGCAATATTGGTTTGTAATAAGCTGGTAAAAAGCATATTCGAACAAGGCACATTTGTAGCTGCTGAATTGAAATAAGACATATATGTATGTCCATTGATAATATACATGCCAAACAGTGGTACAAACTGTATACACGTGCAAATCACATAATTAAAATATAATTAATGATTGAGTAAATATTTTTAAATTTAAAATGTAATTATACCTGATTTTGAAAATTTGTGTGATCTTCCATTCCTAGAACTGATGATTGCATCCCACTACCTACTTATAAACACATTATAACAAATTCATACGATAAAATTAATTTCATAATTTACGAAAGACAATAGGTTGTTACCTGACATGGTTGTCCTAGGTTGTGGCATTCGGGATGTACATGCATTTGCCTCTCTTATGATCTTACTTCTTCTTTTTTCCTCTCATTTTGTTATTTGGTAGATAGCTTAATATTTATTCTAGATAATTTTTATGATTTATTCTTTATTGGTCAAATAGGGTCTAATTATTAAATTAACAAAATATGGAGTGTGATTGACTAGCCAATGGAAAATTAAATGTAAAGTATGAGATTAAAAGAGATTAGCAGTGGTGTTAGTATAAATAATCAAGGGTGGTGAGTGATAGAATACAATTTTCTTAACCAAAGGCCTCCTGAAATGCATACCACATTTCACTATGTTCAATTACTACTAATAATATTTTTGGCCAAAATTACCAAAAAAAGCCTACCATGTAATCAAATCTTGCAAAACTGGCAGAATGATTGTCTGTACATGCTCATTTCTCTATCCCAAAAACCTAAACAACAATAACGCATTTTGCTACAGACAAGAGAGGAGAAAACAGGAACAAAAAACCCCCCAAAAAAATTTATTAAATAATTTACAGACTATTTCATCTTCAACAAGATTAATTAAGCAAACGAAAAGTCCGACTAATGGCTTCAACCTATTTTGTATATGTATGTATACTGGAAAACAGTTTCTCTGCGTGGCGGCCACAAATTACTCTCCTCTGCCCACCCTTGATGAGGCAGAATGATGAAGGAAACAGTTGATTGCTGATACACAAAATTAATATTCTGCTCTATGTTTCTTAGATATTTTTGAACCCGGAACAAAGTCATCATATGATCCATCATCACAAGCTTTATACTCCATCTTGTGCTTCTTGGACTGCTTTGACATAACTGTAGATTTAGAATCTGGTGGCGGTGTTGTCTTCTTCATTGAAACAGAGGAGGAAGAGGAAGATGTTTTTCCTTTTGACAGGAATAGTTTCAGCATTTTTCTTTATGGTCACAACAGCTTTCTTCGACGAATCTAGCTTATTCTGTTGAATCCTTTTCTTTTTCCTCTTGAGAACTTCCTTTGCCACCTCCTTGGAGAGTAAACCAGACTCCATCATCTTACAATCACATTGGAGTCCACTTTATTTCAAAATCACGGCTAAACATACGTGATAGTGATCACTGATGCAAGAAACAAAGTTGATGTAGCTCAATTGAATAAAACTACAACAAGTCCTAGAATATTGAATAATAAAAGCTTTAAGCAGACTTAAATTAAATTGAATAATAAAAGTTCAAACACTCAAATCAATTGAATAGAAATGTTTTACATAATGTCTTATACGCACATATTATACAAAACATCCATCAACTTTGGTGAAAAGGATCAAAGAGTATACCAACAAGTGCTAGAATCAATCTACGAAAAGACATGCAGAGTATAGAACCTAACACTACGAAGGGCTTATCATTCACATGCCAAACATATTGAGAGAATCTTTTTTATTTGGGAGAATAAGAAAAATAGAATAATTTCTTACCAAAAAGCTGTCATTTCGCTATTGGGTGCTTGCTTATACAAAGATTCATAGAAAATCCTCACTGGGTGTCTCTGGAAAAAAGAGAATTGCAACACACCCATTACTCAAATGGTCCCAAATTAGTTCAAACTAACACACACAACATAATTCAAGGAACAATTTAACATACTTCATCAGGAGGGTCTCGTTTCTGACCAGGCAAATCACACTCCTTCCTCTTCCTTTTCTTATGCCTCTGCTTAGCCTTTTTGGCCTTTTTCTTCTTTTTTTTCCTCCTCCTCTATCTTCTTTTTGTGCAACTTTAACCCCAACCCACAACAAATTCAAGAGCCAAACACCAAGACAAAACATATACTAACAACCAAGGATTAATTTCTAAAACAGAGTAAACCCAAGATAAAAAAAAGAACGTATAACAAACCTTATTAATCTTGCTTGAGCCCTTCTTAGTAGTTGCTTCAAAAATATAGTCTATTTCTTCTTTCTTCACTTTTCGTTCCTCTTTCTTCACTTTACCTTCCCTGTGGGAGCCAAAACTGGGACTGGCATGNAGAACGTATAACAAACCTTATTAATCTTGCTTGAGCCCTTCTTAGTAGTTGCTTCAAAAATATAGTCTGTTTCTTCTTTCTTCACTTTTCGTTCCTCTTTCTTCACTTTACCTTCCCTGTGGGAGCCAAAACTGGGACTGGCATGACCGAGTTTTTTCTTGCAATTTTCAAACACAGGACCAGGGTTTTCTTCGTCTTCCTCAACCTCCTCTTTCTTTACGTGCTTTAAATGTTCAGAATGCAATTTTTTTTTAGGGTTTAAGTCAGGTAGAAATTGTAGAAAATGAATGAATTTGGTGATATTGTGTGAAAGCTCCGGAAGCAGAGTGAAGGAAGTAAGAGAGAGACAGAGAGAGTTTTGGAATGTCTTTGGATTCATATATGGAGAAATTCGCCGACGTCCTGGGTGGTGGAGAAAGTGTTTCCGGGTATGGAGGTGAGGAAAGATTTACAAAGAGAGAGAGAGAAATAGCAATGAAGAGTTAGGTTTTGAATTTTAGAGTTTTTGAAATTTGAAAAAGGTAAAAAGGATAGGCTTTTTTTTTTTAGAGTTTGTTTAGTTAACTTTCCGTCCATAAACACAATTGGGTGGCTGAGTTGGCTTCTTTAATAAAATTTCTGACAAAATAGTGACGTGGAAGACATTTATTGGCCATGCATACCACATGGGCAACGCCAGGTGGTGTGTAATACCCATAGAAAAATTTCTCTGTGCTCTGTGAATACTCGTCTCTCTATAGATATTCGGATAACACCTTTTCCTTTGGTGACAAAAATCAATAACAAGACCAAGCGTTTGAAATGGTCCCTTTATGCAATCTTCTTCGGTATTCCAAACGATGATGAAGATATGATAACTTTAAGCCATTGGAAGATTGGGAATCACTTGAAAGGTGACGATGAAGTAAGTGTTTTGGTAATTGTCGGTGGTGGTTGTCAGATGATGGAGTCTGGTATCGATCTTGTGTGGGAGCAAGAAGAGAATGTTGGTACCCCACAAATGTACAAGTACAATCCCAAGGGTGACATTGACGGTGATTCAGACTTTTTGAGGTGCTTAGCTGAACTGTATTTTCTATCATCGCCCGTGGTTAATGACTCGCCTAGCTTGGGTAAGTATGACAGCCTATTTATGGATTCTGATGAAATTGTAGGTTTGTAGCTTCTCTTTTGATTTAATTTCAACTATTAGTTAAAAAACTTAGACATAGTAAAGAATTGGGAAATAAATCTTTTTTTTTTTTGATACTGTGTTTTGATATAGGATTTTTGGTCTTTTGATGGTTAATAGTTGAAGAGGACATGAACAGCAATGAAAGTGGTACGAACGGGTTGCAACACCCCAATGGAATCCGGAAGGTTCTCGTTCTCTCTCTAGCTTTGGCCTCTGACTCTTCTATCACTTTCCAAAGGAAAAGACGAACAAAAAGCCAATAGTAAAAATAAGTGACAGGTAGCCTTACCCTCTCATTGTAAGTCCAAGAGAATAGACATTTGTTTTCTTTGAGATTTGGCAACGCTTTGCTTTTCAGTTATATGTTTGTCAATCTTCTTTTAAAAAAGTGTTGAGGTGTCGAACGAGTCTTACATCGGTTGGTGATAAGAGGGTCGTAAACCATATAAGGGAGCCGGTCACTCCATCTAATAAGTGCACCTTTGAGGCTGGAAACCCATGCCCAACAAAAAAGAAAAGGTTGATTTGCTCCAAGTCTTCTTCCAGTGCACTTTGAAGAGGAAGGTTCTCGGACTTGAACCAATAAGACCTATTGCTTGGGTTGTCTAATGCCTTCAAGCTCCCAAATATAATGCATTGTTCAATTCTTCATTTGGAGACTTCCTTATAAGATGTCTATCAAATTGACCCATGCTTTAAGTTGTTTTCTCTCTAACAAAATTCTACAATTGGCCCCCTTCTCTCATTTTGGTCTTTGCACTCTAGCAAATTATAGTTAACATTTTACCACACATTATTGCAAGGTCTTACCAACCAGCTGTGTCTCTACTATTTAACTTGATACTTGTAACTGTGGATCAAATTACGCCTCATTTCGGAGCCACGCTGTGGCTGAGGGGATACCCCCCCCACCCACCAAGGTTTCAAAAAAGCAAAACCGTATATAATGTCCTTGAGAGATCTTTGTTGTTTTGTGTGCACTATTTGCACATTGCATACATTCTCTATGTCTGCTATTTTCTTGGTAAAAGATCTCTCTCTCTCTTTCTCAGATCTGTATTTAACGCTCGACCTTCGATCTCCCAATCGTCTACTTCAACCTTCAATTTCTTCTGCCGATATTCTTTTGCAACTCTTCACCAGCACTCCATCTCAAACACAGAATCACATGCTTAATAGCACACAGTCACCCTATCACACATCAATAAGTTACACTAATTAGTTAAAATTAACCTATAATATACAAAACAGTTACTCATATGTTCTAATAAACCAAAGAATTACACAAAATAATTACACGACATTATAACATTAACCTAATTCGTCATTCTGTTGTTTACATAAACCAAAAAGTTACGTCATTTAATATCACAATATAGTCTCACCAATTATATACACCAAATTGTGTTTATCATTACACAAAAGATTTTATTTGTGGTTTGCGTGTCGCATTCAAATTGGGTTGACTATGTGAGCGACACCCATTGCCTAACCTAGGTAAATGAATTCGATCAATAAATTTTTTACATTAAAAATTGTTAATTGGTATCATGACATCATGTTAACTTACAAGTAAAATACCAAAAAAAAATGCATTTAAGGAGAAAATACCACAGTTATAATTTTATAAATAAAGTTCAGTTATAGCTATTCGAAGCGTAAGTTATAATTTATAAAAAAACATAATAGATCTTAAAACGTTAAAATTGATCATAAAAATTATAACTTTTAAATGTAAACTTACAACTCAAAAAAAAAATTGTTACAATTTGTTAAAAAAATTTATGATCGATCATGGTGAATTTTCTCAAGTAATTGTAATTTTACTTTAAAAAATTATAACTTTATCATTACACGTAATAACTTTTAGTAAAGTATAACAATTTGTTTTTTCCCAATATGGTAGAATTACCCATTTTAAGGAGTTATAATGTCGGACTCGTGGGTATACAGAATTTAAGTTTGCACCTATCAGAATATGATTTGTTAAATCATAATTTTGTCAAAAAAATTATAAATTCCAAGAATTTGAAAAATTGAGGGAAGAAGGCTTCATAACCCCTTCCCCTCCAAATTATTTGCTATAGTATATTGCATATATTTTTCTAACTGATTTTAGGTTCCTCTGTTCTTCAATCATTTAATTATAATAGAAGTTTTTTGTGTGCGTTTTTACTGTCCATATCGTTTTCTTTGGGCGAGTTGTATTTTATATTCTAAAGAATTTTTACTTTGTACCCTCAAAGATTATATTTGTAACATTGTACCCTCATTGTGTTAAAAGTTGCAATTAGACCCTTCTGTTATTCATTCCCTCAACGTTAAGCGGGTGAATTTTGACAGAATAAGCAACAAAAACTAACAAAAATGTCAAATTGCAACATTTTTAATACATAAAGGGCATAATGTAAGAAATCTCATTTTTGAGGGTGCAAAGTTAAAAAACTTAAGTACTTTATAGTGCAAAGTGGGATTCCCAATTTTTTTTTTTTTTTT